AGAGCAATCACTGTTAAAGACTATTTGTTTGTTTTGAACTGTTATCTGGAGAGATTGACATTTTGGTCTATTTTTAGATTATGACAGATCTAATATTAGTTTTTCTTTCAAGATTTTTTTTTTTTTGCTGCATGCTTCTTAAGAGATTGGCCATTTATTTCATTGTCATTGTGTTAAAATTTTTAAAGTTTTGTATCTGCTGTTGACTTTTCTCCACACCGGAGGTCAAGGTGACTGATAAAATGACGAAGGGTGAGCTGAACGTGTTGTGCTTCAGTGTCGTAGCAACTATTGTGCCTTGTAAGACAGACAGCAGTGTGTCATAACATACTGAATCTTTTCTTTTCTTACCAGTAAGCTTATATTTTTCCATTATGTCACAACACACTGACGCTTTTCTTTTCATATCAGTAAGCTTATATTTTTCCATTATGTCACAACACACTGACGCTTTTCTTTTCATATCAGTAAGCTTATATTTTTCCCTTAGCACCATTTTCATATCTATTAATTCATTAAAAAGAATCCTGTGTAAAGACGATATTAATGAACAATGAATTTATCTACATATCATTAGATTTTTAGATGTTGATAAGGGTCAGCACATTTTTATGTAATTTTTGTTTGTTTGTTTCAATCCACGCTTAAGCAGCCAGAACGCTGTGTACTATCATAGTGTCATTCCCAGGTGCTAGCTACCAAATTGAGAAAAATGATGTCAATCCACGAATAGCGTTGATAAGGGTCGGTACATCTTTATGTAATTCTTTTTGCTTGTTTCAATCCACGCTTAAGCAGTCAAAACGCTGTGTAAAACCATGTCTCATTCCCAGGTGTCAGCTTCCAGTTTGGAGAAAAATGATATAAATCCACGAAGAGCAAAGTGATAGATAGAGGCAGTTATGATGAGTTGCCAGTGCTATTGTCCTCGTGATTGGACGGCTGGAAATTTTGTATGTGTCTGGACACAGTGAAATCAGGCGATCGTCATGTTTTGGGGCATATATATGGAGTTATTGGTATGATCTTAAATTAAACTTTGTTCATTTGCTTTGCTTTGGATTTTTTTTAAAAATGCATATCTATCTCGAATATAGAAGTGTTGAAATATTTGTGGTTGAAAGAGGTGGATTCACTGTGTCAGAAGTACGTGAAATTAGCTAGAGAAAAGGGCCCTCAAAGTTTGTTGAGTCTCCTTGGAAATTATTATATTTACAATTTCTGTTCCTTTGTTTACCATTTTTCAGTAAAAGCCAAATAGAAATGTGTTTTTAAATGGTCATAAGAAGTGTGTAGCCCCCCCAATTTTTTTAATTGTTGAGTTTTGCCCAGTGGGTGGGGAAAATGCTAGCTTTATTTTTTTTTCGATTTCATTATTTTGCCAAGCTCCTGATTTCACCGTGATGCCTCACATTTGGTCTTTTTGACAGGTTGTGAAGTTGTAACCAGTTGTATGGGTTCATATGCACAATCCCCAGCGCTTTTTTTATTTTTAAAGATCCGCTCAATTCCATTTTTATGCGCTTATCTTTAAAATATGCCACCCTAAAGTGATGAAAATTCAATAACTTTTTTTCTTCATTTCCTCAGGTTTTGGGTGTTTATTGTCTGGATGAAATAGGAATTCCTTGATCTCTGGCTTTTTTAAGCTTATTAAAATGTTTACACATCCCGTATAGATCTATATATATATAAGAATTTTGCACAGTTTATCACATGTTGAAAGAGCTATCCTGCTCAGTTCAAATGAACGACTTTCCATGATTGTTCTATGATTGAATATTTATATAATATGGTATGGTGTCTGAGCAAAGGAATGAATGGAGAACCATGATCGCCGATGTCTGTCGCAGATCTGGCACTGGATGATGATGATGATGATGATGGTGGGGTCTATAGACTGACAAACATTTTTGTAAATTGTAAAGTTACTCTTCATTCCAGATTCTTATATTTGCTATTTCATATTTTTGTTTGTATTTCACTACACAGAAGTTGGATATTGTCGAGTTGCCTCTGTTCCGACATTATTACTTTGCCGTCACATCTCACCGATGTTTACCACCCAGTTTCTTTTGATTTTCCCTGAAATGCCTTTGTCTTTGATGGCAAGGGATTTCACTATATGAGCTTTGTGATGGCAAAGAGTTAAGATCCCCTAGTGAACATAATATGAGGATATATCATTATGAATGATTGTAAATTTGTTCATAGAGCAATTGCTCAGAGCAATCACTGTTAAAGACCAATTGTTTTGGATGGTTTTCTGTAGAGATTAAGACATTTTGGCTTTTAGGGGGGGGGGGGGGGGGGGGGTTGGGTATAATATTAGTTCCGTTTTTTTGTTTGGTTTTGTTTTTGTTTGTTTTGTTTTTTATTTTTTGGGGGGGTTCCGGAATTGTTATTGTGTAGGACGCTTGAGTGACTCTCCGCTGTCTTTGTCCTCATTTTTTTTTTTTATGTCAGGGAAGGGGGCCTGTGGGGCATTCGTCAACGTGGGTGTTTGGTGGACAGTTTTCAAAGTTTTCAATTCCTGTCTCTGACTGATTAGTTGTGAGAATTCCAATACCCAATGTTTTATAAGATTTTTCTTTAACATGTTTTAAAAAATATTTGTTTGGGTCGATGTAAGACCGTGCAAAAGGCATGTCGGGTGAGAAAGATGATGAGAGGATTTTATTGATCAAGTTGTTGTGACTGTCTTTGCCCAGTGTCCTGTGTGCTGCTAGCACATTGCATATGTCACAGAGGGAGAAACAGTTTGTCACCTCAGTCTAGTTTGTCGAGACTTTGTCAAGCTCCCCGGTGTTTTCTCCAGCAAATGACGTTACAAAATTGTCAATCAATTGTAAAATTGTCAATCAATTGTCGAAATTCAGTCAGCATTAGTATAAGTCGAAATTCAGTCAGCGTTAGTATATTAGTATAATTGGCTACAGATGAGTTGATGTTATCCCGGGGGGATTGGGGGGGGGGGAGTGAAAAAAAGATCAACTCATCCAAAGTTGAAGTTAACCGTTAGGACCTGTAAAATGAAGAGGTGCTGGGACCCGAGAAAAAGATCAACAACTGACCTGAAGTTCAACTCAAAGCCAGTTCAACACAAGCAGATTGGAGTGTACCGTATATTGATAATGAACATTTTCTCCACCTGCCCTAGCTCATACTCTGCGGAGATTTGTGTACAATTTGTAATGCTTTAGTCCTACACAGGTTCTCATACAATCGGCTAATTCTCCTGCTTCAAAAAAAATTTTTACGTGGCCAGTTTGGGACAAGATTTAATATTTTATGTTGACTTAGGCATTCAAAACAAAAGCAGTATTGAAGAGTGTAAATTGGATGGTTTACATAAGATTCTGCTTGAAATTTTCATTTTCGTATCATTTCACTAACGTTTACCACTTTGCAGTCCCACAGCCAGCAGTACAAAATACCCCCATCTGGTCACCCAGCCAGGAGAGTAGTGACTGCAACGGATTTCTCGAACTTATCGCAAAACTGCGTCTAGTGAGCGGAACAGATAATATAATTTTCACCGTCGCATTATTGCGGCACGTGACCATAAAGTGTTGAACATTTGTGAAGCGTGCTGACAAAATGAGTTACTTCTCAGATTCAAGACTTAAGGAAATAGATACATCACGCTATTAGGTGAAGTTTTTACAATTTACAAGCACAAATTAATAAAAGACAGGTTACAGTTAAAGAATATGGCATCAACAGAAAATCTGCAAATTTGACCCTAGTGTAGATTTTTGGCCAATATCTCCATTTGTTGATTGCGAGAAGTAACTCATTTTGCCAGCATGCCTCACATTTGGTCACCACACAATACTTCTGAATTCTGCTGACCAAAGCCCAGTTTAGTGGCCTTGAATGATGCTGTTGGGCAAAATATGACCACAGGATGCTAGTTCACATAATTATTTTTATATTTCACCGGAATCTTTGAGGATCCTTCGGGCAGAAAAAAAGTTATTCATTTTTTACTCATGTCTCAGTCACGTTTTGTAATCTTATTGCACATTCCAAATTTACTTTAATTATTTTTATGAATATATACATGTATAATAAATATATGAAACAAATGTAAACATTAAATTTTTTGTTTTGACAAAATCTTTTATTGTCTTTCTATGTCAAAGTGCATGTTTGTGTTATGGTACATGTTTTTTTTAAAAAAGGGCCAAGTCAATACTCGTAAGGTATTACAAAAATGTCACATTAACAAGATACAATACGTGTAAACTTTCCAAGAACAGATACAATACATGTAAACTTTCCAAGAACAGATACAATACGTGTAAACTTTCCAAGAACAGATACAATACGTGTAAACTTTCCAAGAACAAGATACAATACGTGTAAACTTTCCAAGAACATAGTTCACAAGTTCACATAAATGATTGTATTTCCCTCAGGTAAAGTATTCTTTACTTCAGGATCCATACTATTATCACAGCAAATATATCAGTCATCATCTTGACAAATTATAGTAAATAAGGCTTTCTTTCTTCTTTTCGTATATTATCTGTAATAGACATCAAGGTGCTGCAGCCATACATTGATCGAAATTTGAAGCTTTTTTTGTCTCAAAAAACAATGGTCGAAATTTGAACCTTTTTTGTCTTAAAAAAACAATGATTGAAATTTGAACCTTTATTGTCTTAAAAAACAATGGTTGAAATTTGAACCTTTTTTGTCTTAAAAAACAATGGTTGAAATTTGAACCTTTTTTGTCTTTAAAAAAAAGTTTTGAAGTGGAGCAAAGTTGTACATTAACTTCAACATCAACGTCGGATCCCAAAGAAAAGTGTGTGTGAACTGACTCACTACATCATGTTCACATTTTGCCTGTCCATTTTTCCGTCTACCCATCTTTCCTTCTTACTTCTTTTTCTGTCCCATCTTTTCTTCTTACTTCTTTTTCTGTCCCATCTTTCCTTCTTACTTCTTTTTCTGTCCCATCTTTCCTTCTTACTTCTTTTTCTGTCCCATCTTTCCTTCTTACTTCTTTTTCTGTCCCATCTTTCCTTCTTACTTCTTTTTCTTTCCCTTCTTTCCTTTTCCTTTTCCTTTCTTTCCTTTGCCTTTCTTCTTCTTTCCGAAGGGGCCGAATCCTTTCCGCACCATGACCCCTCGCCACCACGCTTGGAGCTGGGAACAGAGGAAAAGAAAATTAGAACATTCCAGCAGACACTGACTGTTAGTGTTAGTTAAGAACAATTGGTCGCTTTTAAGCACGAGAGGGCTATCCCGAAAAATGCTGTTTTTGAGAAAATCGAACGTAAAGTTTTTGCCCCTTATTTCGTTTTTTAATTAAAAATACAAAGAGAGATTTCTCAATAACCAAACAAATAAACACACCAATGAAACAAAACTTCTATAGGTAGGGCAATGCCCACTTTTGGTGTAGGTCAAGATTTCTGGAAACCCCCGAAATCTGGGTTACCCCGCTTGTCCTTAAAAGCGACCAAATAATTACATGTATGTAAGATTAACGTTTACTGCAAATAATCAGGTTCATCAGTTAGATTTCCCTGGCTGGACCGTGTCTATAATGTGATGGCATGGGTCTTTGCTACAGCATATAAAAGATGCAAATTCTATTCTCACTCAGTGAAGTCTTATTTTATCAAGTATCTCTTTCTCTCTTATTTTATAGAATATTGATGTCTTATTTTATCGCTTTTATCTCTCTCTCTCTTATTTTACCAAGATCTTATTTTATGAGTATCTCTCTCTCTCTTATTTTATAGAATATCGATATCTTATTTTATTGAGTATCTCTCTCTCTCTTATTTTATAGAATATCGATGTCTTATTATATCGCTTATCTCTCTCTCTCTTATTTTACCAAGATCTTATTTTATGAGTATCTCTCTCTCTCTCTCTCTCTTAATTTATCAAGTACCTCTCTCCTATTTTATAGAGTATCTTATTTTATCAAGTATAGTAGGCTATACCCCTTTTATTTTGTCGAGTATATATCTCTCTCTCTCTCTCTTATTTTATAGAATATCGATATCTTATTTTATCGAGTATCTCTATCTTTTATTTTATCACGTATCACTCTCTCTCATTTTATCAAGATCTTATTTTATCGAGTATCTCTCTTATTTTATCCAGCGTCTAATTCCCTGTAAGGACTTCTCTGTTGAAATCCACCTCTTGCTGCTCATACGACCTTATGCAGTTGGGAGCGGCGTAAAACCTTACTAAAACAAAACTAAAAGAAGGAGGATTTCACTACTGCATAGTGGATATAAGTGCCGTAGATTAGAGGTGTTACAAGAGAGTAACATACACAAAAAAGAAGGAGGACAAATAAGGATGACAGATGTTTGATAGGAAACAAGGAGCAAACCACACCACACCAGAGCACCACCCATCGACCACCCAAAAGAACAACACAGCCTTCAGTGTGGGTTCACGTATGGTGAGCACTCGTCCACTGACCCTGATAGCCGACCGGAGCTCAATGGCTTCCTGTTCCGCCTTCCTCCTGGCCTTCTCCTTCTCAATCCTGTCCTCCACCACGATCTGCTCATACTCTTTGTACTGTGGGGAGAAGAAAGTCAGTCAGTTTATTATTCAGTGTTTAAGGCCATTGGTTCACATCACATCACACAAAACATTCATTTGTGAGGCATCGTGGTGAAATCAGGCATTCGTCAAAATAATGAAATTGAAGAAACTTGCATTTTTTTGCCAGTTTGGTAACTTTTATCAAATTTTGTTTTTTGACTTAACCTGTCCCCGTCGTCTTATGCAAGAAAAATTCTGAAATTATGCAAACTGAGCTAAAAAATGTGAAATTATGCAATTCTGTTAATTTTAACAAAGAATGATAAAGGAAAATAATCAGAAATTATGCAAAAAATGATCAAATTTTGCTAAATTAGGCGGGGTGCATAAAACCATGGGGCCAGCTTAACACCATTGTCATCCAATTAATAACTGATTTCTGGGTGGACTTTACTGAAAGATGTTGATTAAAGGCACAAAAATGTAAGTTTTCAGTTTCCACAGACTGTCTAACTATGTAAATAACCAAACTTTGGAGGCTATTTTCTCGCTAATTCTACCTAGGAAAACAGGTGACCCCACCTTCTTCAGTCTCAAATATCTTGACTTCTATTCAAGATAGATGGGCAATTTTTTACAGATAGCAAGTCAAATGAACAAGCTTTAAGATGATACCATTAACTCCACATGCCCAAAAATGGATGAGAGCCTGATTCCACTGCGTCGTGACACATTTGTTTCATTTATTTTTTTGTTAAATAAAGTTTCCATCATTAAAAAGTACAGGTTGTGCACATGTCTCGTCAAACACTGCATATTTCTGTCACTGGGCCAGGTCAGGCTGGGAGGGATTAACAGTTTCCTTTGATGGACCAAATTAGGACAATAAAAAATAAAGTGAAAATCGTCTTTGTTTTCATGAGAGTTACACCTCTTACATAAGGGTGAATTTATTCATTTCCACAGATAAAGATTGTTATTTAATGAAAGGCGATGAGTTTTTAACAAGGCTATGATTGTTCTGTTTCAATACCATGGGAGGTTGATGATATACTCAGCTGAGTTTTATGGAATTGTAAGATTGTAATTGTATAATGTAACTATACTTTTTTTTTTTCACCAAAAGCAAGGCAAATGAACAGGCTTTAAGATGATACCAATATCCTCATATGCCCAAAAACTGACAAGCACCTGATTCCACCACGTCGTAACACATGTGTGTGGCAGCGTGGGGAAATCAGGCGCGCGAGTTTGGCACCTATGACTACAACATAAATAGTTAACAAAAGTTTATTGTATTATAACAAAAATTAACTGTTTCCTTCTGTTAGCTTTTGCAAGGGTTAAACATTCAACAAACCAGAAAGCAAATAATGGGCACAGTTTTCAATATTTTAACGTCATTTATGATAAGTTGGGTATGACTGATGGAAATGGCATCTCATTAAAAAAATCAGATTTTATGCAAATCTGATTGGGGGTTTTTTGGTGATCAAAATTAAAGAAATAGGTCGCTCTTAAGCACAATTACACCTTGTTCAGTTTCTTTAAAAGACAAGGAGAGTTTTCTCTACAACCAAACAAATATACACACCAATGAAACCAAACTTCTCCTATAGGTAGGGCAATGCCCACTTCTGGGGTAGGTCAAGATTTCTGGAAACTCCCAAAATCTGGGTTGGCCCGCTTGTCCTTCTTAAAAGCGACCAATTGTAAGGCTCCCATTATTTATCGGAGTATCTTATAGCAGATTGCCTACACTTTCAACTCTTTGACAGAGGGGATCATGGCTGTGTGCTAAACGGCACAGACCTGGTGTTCCCCACTTACCAGTTTTGTGAGTTCCTGCAGTTTCTCCAAGTCTTTGGCTTTGGTTTGTTTCAGTGTGTCCAGCTCCTTCTGTTTCGCCTCTTTGTCTGTCTCGTATTTGTCAATCCAAAACTCCAGCTTCTTCTCTAGGTCCTGCACAAGAATACGATTCCTCCCATAAATTGTGAGTGTGTGTGCGGGAGCGTGTGTGTGTGTGTGTGTGTGTGCACGTGGTGAAACACCAAACCAATGTGGCAGGATCAAGACAAAAAAGACATCATATCTTTTCTGATATTATCATATCTTATCTTATTTTATGTTATCTTATCTTATTTTAAAGCAATAAAGTGAAAATGTACTGAAATGGTAATCAAACAGCTGAAGTTTTAGGCCTCCAAGTGTTATGAGTATGAAGTCCAACCATAGTTACAGATATTCAGGGTTTTTTTATTGACTGTATTCTGTCATTAATTTATTATATTTTTAAAAGAATAAAATGGAATTTATATGCATATCAAAGCATTGTGACCCCTGGGTTTTTATTAATGACTGCTTTAGCCAATTAGCCATTTCTAAATGGAGACCTCATTTATGATGAAAGAACTTGTTGCAAAAGTGTAATGTAATTGAAATTCTTGAGAAGCCAAAAAAAAAAGGATTAAAAAATTAAAACAAAAATAAACCCTGTACAAAAACGCAGGCCACTTGTACAAAAACGCAGGCCACATACCTTCTGGTGAGTCTGCAGATAGGAGACAATCTTCTGGTGAGCACCGACTTCTTCATCAATCTTCACCTGCAATCTCTGATGGATCAAAGAGGCAGAAAAAAAATAATTAAAGTTTCATTTTAACGCACCAATATTGGGGAATGTAGACCCAAAACCAAGAGAAAATTGAAGAAAAAGATGACACAAGTGGTGAGAAAAGCTGATGAGCAATTAACTTAAACAAGAAAAGGAAAGTTAAAAAAATGTACCTTTTAGTTTTAGTAAGTGTTTTATGGCACTTGCAACACAATAAGCTGTCCCCGTGGTTTTATGGCAAAAAAATTCTGAAATTATGCAAACTGAGCCCAAAAATGTGAAATTATGCGATTTTGTTAATTTTAACAAAGAATGGTACTGGAAAATAATCAGAAATTATGCAAAAAATGATCAAATTTTGCTAAATTATGCGGGGTGCATAAAACCACGGGGACAGAATAAGATAGTATAACTGCCGAAGATTAGAGGTGTTACAAGAGAGTAACAAACACAAAAAAGAAGGAGGGGAGATAAAGACGATGGATGTTTGATAGGAAAGAAGAAGCAAACCACACCAGAGCAACCGCTAGGCACCCACTAAAATGTACCTTTGAATCTACTTGTAGATATAGTACAACATCAAAGATCCCTGAATGAGAAACAAGACAATTTCGACCATAGAATTACGTTGTTTGAAGTTAGTTGACTTTTTCATAATTTACTTACTTTACTTTTATCTGCCACTTATACCCTTTTGGGTGTCGCGGGAAGAAAGAGACGTCTCTCTGTCGCCAGCCACAGAGCTTGGGTCAGGGGGATGCCGTGAGTTGTTAGTGTTTCCTTGACACCATCTATCCAGGTCTTTCTCGGTCGCCCTCTAGCCTTGTTGCCATTGAATTTTTTAATGTAGGCACGTTGTGCTTGATGGTGTGTTGGTAATTGCATGAGATGTCCGAACCATTTGATTTTTTGGTGTTGGAAGATGCATGACATCATTTGTTCCCACCATTTCTCTGATTACTGAGTTTCTAATTTTGTCTCGCCTGGTCTTGTTTACTGCTTTTCTAAGAAATAACAATAATTTTAAAGCTCATAGATCTAGATCGGGCAAGAAAACTCAAAACTAAAATAATTTTCAATCCCGACTACGGACCATTCGACAAGGGTGCTCTTTCACATAATTATCATAGTTACCTCTATCTCTTCTTTCATATCCTTCTCAGACAGGAAGCAGCGTTTCTGGGACTGCGCGACGGCGACTTCTGCACATTTCTTAATGTACTTCCCTTCCATGTTCGTCTTGGCTTTCATTTCCTGTCACATGCGTGATAAAAGATAAAAGTTAGATCGAGTATAATGATCAACATGGCCAGTGTTATCACTGTTGTTGGCATACAGTACATTCCTTTTCGATACAGGTTAGTTTCTCGGCACTTATATGACCTTATTGTGTTACAAGTGCCATAAAACTCGCTAAAAAACAGATTAGTGAACATCTTGGCAGACATGCTGACAGGATATAAAGAGCAGCAGTAACGAAATTAATTTTGTTATAACACGCGCTTCTAATTTAAATCTCTTTTTGTTAAAATCTATCATCCTACCGATCAAAGAAATGTAATTCGCCACAGTACCTGATTTTAAAAAAACAAGGAGACTTGACCAACAAAAAATATTCATGGGAGGACAAGAAATTTCCAGTCCAACTTATTTCTAAACATCAAACTTCCTCATGCAGTATACCGTAAAGGTTGATCCTTTAGGTTCATTACCAAAGAAAAAAAGTTGAACATTGAAAACAGACAGAACTGGATGATAACAATTTCATCAAACCTTTAAATATTGTATCATATCAAAAGTATGGTTTTACAGAATACCTTGAAGCCACAATAAACAAATTCTATAAATAAAAACCAATGATGACTCAGTCTTAATCAGAGTTACAGAAACATTTTAGGCTATCAAGGTTGAAAATATAACAAATAATAGTATACGACACTTACATAGCGTTTAACACAGATTTATTAAAGTACACAGGCTATGAGTGCTTAATATGTGTCACGACGTGGTGGAATCAGGCGCTCGTCAATTTTTGGGCATATATATTTATTGGTAGGCCCCTACCTTCTTAAAGATTGTTCATTGTCTTGCTTTCAATAAAAAAATTCCCATTCTAACTTGAATAGAAGTGGAGATATTTCGGATTGGGGGAGGTAGGGGTCACTGGTTTCAGTGGTAAAATTAGGGACAAAATGGCCGATAAAGTCTGGTAACTTCAAAAGTCTGAGAGTCCTTGGAAGCTGTAAATTTACATTTCTGTGCCTTTAATCATCATTTTTCAGTAAAATCCACCTAGCAATGTGTCTTTAAATAGACGCAAAAGGCTTTGAGCAAAACCATAAAAATGTGATAAAAATTGCCAAATGGTTTAACGAGCGCCTCATTTCACCACCATGCCTCACATATTAAGAGCATTAAAAGAGAGCTGAGAAAAAATTCCATACCACATAGTAAAAATAACAAAAAATCCCAACTGCTTACCTGTAGCTGGTCTTTGAGATGCGAGATCATCTCGTTACGCTGCTGTATCTCGGTCTCTTTCTGCTTCTTCACCCCCAGCAACTGTCTCTGTAACTCCCTCACCTTTTTCCTGCCATCTTCCTCCCTGTTCAATTTTACAAGATTTTTAGCTTTTCTCACAGAACATTTATCGTTATCTTTCTCACCGAACATCGCCATCTTTCTCACCGAACATCGCCATCTTTCTCACCGAACATCGCCATCTTTCTCACCGAACATCGGCATCTTTCTAATCGAACATGGCTATCTTTCTCACCGAACATCGCTATCTTTCTCACCGAACATCGTTATCTTTGTAAAACAAGCAGAATATATAACTTGAAATTAAATATAAAGACAACTGTGTGTTTCCAAAATTTATAAAGATTCCACAGCACCCCTTCGTTACTTCGAATTTTTTAAGTCTGTAAAGTAATGCACTGACAATTCCAAAAACAGAAAATTTCTTCTTTTTTTTTTTTTTTTAGTCCATTTCCTTGTCTCTTACAATGAAAGAGGTTTTTATTTTCATCCTTTGTAATCTGTTTTCATTGTTTGAAAAGGCAAAGCATTAACTAAACAAGAAATTCTAACTAATGAGCACTGAACGATACAGCTGAAAAAACCTCAATTACCGCAAACCTTTTTAAATGTGATTCTCAAACTGGAAAACAGCACACAAAAGATAGAAATGATTTTATTCTGGTAGCCCAAACGGGACAGGTGAACATATGAAGAACATTTAGATGACAACAAAACTAAAAATCCAACGTGTGAATTACTCCTTACTCATAAACTTTGATATACTGATTTTGATCAAACGACTGTAGACTATCAAGCTTATAATATATAAGTAAATGATTTCCTACTTTTGGATGGTGCTTTGTAAAGAAGCTTTGTGCTGTTTCTGAGCATTCACAGCTTCCAGTAAAGCTTGGAAACTGCAGTTCTGTACCAGCTCTGTCATAGTGTCGCCCATCACCGACTCAAGGAAGACCCTGTGAAAGACACACGTTAAAACATGGTACAATTATCCGTATTCAATTTTTAAACGTAAGTATTTTCAACACTTAAAAAAAAAACAAAAAAAAAAAACAAGATGAGACTTCCTCCATCCAAGAGCCAATGGGTCCAATTCAAATAGTGTGAATTCAAGATTTTGAGTGCTTGTTTGACAAAATCTATTTTAAAAGGAATAATGCATTCAGCTTAATTCTTTATCAAAGTCAGTATACCCTATCAAATGCACAACTGCAACGACTCGAGGTGTTACAAAATGAAGGAATGAGGGCAATCCTGGGTTGCACACGAGACACCTCAGCTGAAGCAATGAGATACTTCCTAGACTTCCCATGTGCAGACGAGAGGCACAAACTGGCACAAGTCCAAGCCTTTCTGCGAGTCAGCGCAGACGAGACGAACCCCCTACATAAACAAGCAAAAACTAGCTCTAAATAAAACGAAAATGTTGTCACTAGTACTGGACTGAGCTGGGTTATTACCGCCGGACGTTCCCAGCGTCAGATGGGGTTTAAAGAGTTAAGACCCCCTTCCCACAATTTCGATCATTCACGAAACAGGCTACATTGACCTTGCCTGTCAGAGCTGACCCAGGCAGAGAGGGATACACAATGTCCTAGCTGACAAACGGTGATACTCAAGAAAAAAGATCTTCACATAGAAAAACCGAAAGCACATCTTCTGTGTGAGACAGCGAAGCGCGTTGGTTAACAATTTAAAGTCTATAAAGTTATATTAGATAAACAACAGACTTCTTTTTGGAAATATCTTCTTTAAAGACTTTCAACATTTTTGTCCAAACGTAGGTGTTCTCATAATCAAGAGAATATCAAAAACATTGTTGAAAACATTCATTAACATTTGCAAAGCATAGGCTCAAATTTAAATGGACGCTTTTAAGGACAAGTGGGCTATCCCAAAAAATGCGGTTTTGAGAAAATCGAAGGTAAAGTTTTTGCCCCTTGTTCAGTTTCATTAAAAATCAAGGAGAGTTTTCTCTATAACTAAACAAATATTCATACCAATGAAACCAAACTTCTCCTGTAGGTAGGGCAATGCCCACTTTTGGTGTAGGTCAAGATTTCTGGAAACCCCCAAGATCTGGGTAAGCCCGCTTGTCCTTAAAAGCGACCAAATAGTGTAACCCTGAATTGTACTTTTCTGACAAGAATGTCTCCTCAGTCCTGAATACTCTCGACATGACATACGTCAAAATGCTGAGAAATATTCTGCACCATCGTGTTGTCTGGGTGGTATTTCAGTTAAACAAAGCCAAAAATATCTGTAAAAATACAAAAATGATGTTATCTTGACACAATTAATTACTGACCTGTCTTCTTGAATCTTCACCAGATTGTCCTGAGTCAAAGGATTCTGCCTCAGCGTCCGGCCAAAAACATGAGTTGAGTTCTTCAGGTCTCCTCCTGTTAACATAGAGAACTTTTTGTAATTTGAGGACAATAATTATAGATGTGAAGTGTGCTGACAAAATGAGTTGCTTCTCGGATTTGAGCCCTGTGGAAATAGATACATCATGCATAGGTTAAGTTTTTACAATATATAAGTTTGAAATAACAAAAGGCATGTTATACTTAAAGAATACTGCATCAATAGAAAATCTATTAATTTAACCCTAGGGTTGTAGGGTTGATTTTTGGCCAATATCTCCATTTGTGGATTGCGAGAAGTAACTCATTTTGTCCACGCCTCACAGATCGACATTGTACAACACAGATTCTTGCACCGCAGCAGGGTCTTAACAATCTGTTTTATTTCCCCAGCAGACCGGATAGCATTCTGAAACAATCTCAACTTCTTGGGAAGCATACTGTGAAAGCTGCCATTTCTTACAGGCGCTAAAACACTAACACACTGACAAGATCTTTCACTGTCTATGGCCGGGTACCCATTCCCACCTGGGTGAAGTGAGGAAAATTTGAGGAAGGAAAATTCCAGTAAAGTGCCTTTCCCGATGACATAATGTCAGGCTTGAGGCTCGAACCCCCAAACCTGTAACCTCACAATTATGAATCAGGTAGCCTAACCACTAGACTACTGACATCACTCAAAGAGAAGGATTAAAAACATGAGGCAAGTTTGTCACTTGAGCGCATGCATTTTGATATCTTGATTTCACGTAAACTTGAAAAAAAAGGCAGTAGAGTGAGTTTTTGACGGAAAGCATTTTCTACAATATAAAAAGAGGTAATTTTAAGAAATAAGAAATGAAATGAGACTATCCATATTGCTCGTCTAACGCCACTGCTAAAATAGGAACTGATATTTGGTCGTTTTAAAGGACAAGGGAGTTATAAAAAAAAACGCTATTTTGAGAAAATCGAAGGTAAAGTTTTTGCCCCTAGTTCAGTTTCTTTAAAAGACAAGGAGAGTTTTCTCTATAACCAAACAAATATACAACCAATGAAACCAAACTTCTCCTATAGGTAGGGCAATGCCCACTTTTGGTGTAGGTCAAGATTTCTGGAAACCTCCTAAATCTGGGTTAGCCCGCTTGTCCTTAAAAGTGACCCTTTAATAAAACATTTCCAGAAAATCCCCCAGTACCTGCGCTGAGCAGTTCCTGTTCCACATCTTGCAGCTTCTCCGGGTTCTTGGTGGATCCGATCATCTCCATTTTCTTGGACAGGACCGACTGGTACTTTGACTCCAGCTGTACCTGGCGATCCACCAACTGGGCCAGATCCCCACGCACAATCTGGCCCAACAAGAAAACAGAATCATAACGCACGATCTAATGCAACAAGAAAACAGAATCAGTTTTTAGTTTTAGTAGAGGTTTTACGGCGCTTGCAACTGCATAAGGTCATATGAGCGCCAGAAGATTAGATCGAGGTGTTACAAGAGAGTAACAAACATAAAAAAGAAAAAGGGGAGATAAGGGCGATAGATGTTTGGTAGGAAAGAAGAAGCAAAACACACCAGAGCACCCGCCACCACCCACAAAAAAAATCAAAACGCACAATTTCTAATGAAAAAAAAAAAAAAAAAATCATAACGCACAATTTCTAATGCAAAAAAAAACAAACAAAGAATCATAACGCACAATCCAATGCAACAAGAAAAAGAATCATATTCGAGTGGGCGAGGGGTGGGGGTTACTTTTCTGCTTAAGCACATTTGTGTCAGGGCGTGGTGGAATCAGGAGCTCGTCAATGTTTGGGCATGTGGGGTTATTGGTATCATCTTAAAGCTTGCTCATTTGCCTTGCTTTTGATGAAAAAAATATCCATTTTTATTCAATAGAAGTCGAAATATTTGCGACTGAAGGAGGTCAGGGTCGACTGGTTTCAGAGGTAAAATTAACAAGAAAATGGACGCCAAATTAGTTTGGTAACTTCCAGTCTGAGAGTCCTTGGAAACCAAAAATTTACATTTTTTGGGCCTTTAATCAATGTTTTTCAGTAAATTCCATACGAAAATGTGTTTTTAAATGAACATAAATAGTGTTGAGCCCAAAAAAGAAAAAAATAAAAAAATCTGCACATGGGCCTAAAAAATGCTGATTTCTTAGACTTCATTATTTTGACGAGCGCCTGATTTCACAACGCCCCTCACATTTCATTATTCAACGTGACAAAATTACAATGACACAACAACACCCATGTAAATGTTGAGTTATTGTAATCCATCATTCAACTTTACATAATAATAATAATAATAGATAGCATTTGTATAGCGCAAATCCCCACTCAACAGCCAACTCTATGCGCTTCACAATCTATACTATTACCCCAGCGTACCTCCATGGCATCTGGCTTGAACTCGAACGACACAGGCATGATGCGGCCCAGTACGGATAGCTGATCCACACAGTCCTCGAGGACCGTCGCCACGTGGATGGCGTCCACCCCGGACAACATGGGGCCCGAGTAGGACATCTGCCGAGCATGGACAAAACTTTTTACGATAGAATATTATATCTATAGACATTGAGACCAAACAAAAAAAGTAAGGTCGTAGAGATAGACCATGCAGTAATGACCACAAAAAAAGAGATAACAAATGACAGAGTAAAAAAGAAAAGGTGAAGTAACTTCAGATTGAGGAGAAAATGCAGTTGTCAAGAAATGTGGAAGCAGCGCATATTGACAGGCAAGGTATAAGCCACTACAAGCTCCTTCCATTTATCTCCGTCCTGGGCCATCCACCCAAGCTCGTTCCAAGTGAAGAAGATTCAGACCACAGAGATGAGATGTTACCACAGTCGACTCCTTAACATTGACATCTCGTACAAAGACCACGTTTCAAATGCTGAGGTACAAAAGAGAATCACCAACGCAGTGGGGAGGCATGAAGATCTACTGACCACAGTGAAGAGACGAAAATTAAAATGGTATGGGCATCACAAGATCCACAGGACTTGCCAAAACAATCCTGCAAGGAACCGTACAAGGAAAGAGAAAGAGAGGAAGGCAGAGAAAGAGATGGGAGGACAACATTACAGAGTGGACAGGAAAGACAATGAGTGACAATCTGAGGAAAGTAGAGGACAAAAATAGTTGGCGAGAGCTGGTTTTCAGATGCAGTGGTGCCCCCACGGTTGCCGCAACCACGGGATAGAAGAAGAAGTCGTGGTGATCTTGTTGTTCTGTTCGTTAAAGTCCACGATCCATTCGTTTACATTCAGAGATCAAGAAATCCAGAAGACTTGAAGACCAAATAGGCAACACAAAGAACAGGGATGAAACCTTTCCGCAAAACATCAAATTATGGTAAAATTCACCCCCCCCCCCCCCCCCCCCCCTTATTTTTATTTGGTCAGGGGCAAAAACTCTTTCCACTTGGGGCCAAAAACAGGCGAATAATAATTGGGGGGTGGGAACTGCCGAAAAGGCACCATTGCTTGAACTTTGATTTTCTGGCAATTCAGGGTCTCTGGCCTTCAGCTTTGGAATTTAACGAACGAAACTACAAAATCACCGCGTCGACTTCGACGTTGCATCTACCGACATATCGTTGATCATATTAAATGTGAATATGCTGTTATGGTAGGAACACATTAATCGAACAAAAGATGTTAAACATAGAGTCAGCATTTTAACCACAATAACAATAGCAAAAACAATAGAAGCACCCTTGTGTATTACGTTTATATTTTGGCACTCGTCAGTTGTAAGTTGGCCTTCGTCCCTCGCAAGTTGGCCTACCTTGTTTACCCTCGTTACCACATCAATGCGCATGTCAGAAAGTAGACGTATCCGTTTCCGAGTTTCCGTTTGCGAGCTCTTCCTTTCTTCTTCCGGTTGTTGATGATCGGTACGTAAATTGTTATAGTGGCTAACGGTTTGTATGTTATTTTCATGATATTCATTTTATTTGAAGAAAAATATACACCAGAAAACTTTGGGATTATTCAACTGTACTCTATCTTAAATGGATTCTCAATGATGCCCTTCGAATGTGTTGAATGCTTAGGATATTGGATGGGCAATATGATAAAACAACCTGTTTTCGACAGCACCTGAACTTTTAGCTACTTTTGTTTGCCAAATTCTGAATGTTGGAAATGAATGCAAGCTGGGCAACATATAATTGTACATGTTGTTATCTTAGTAGTTTGGGATAGGGCAACAGTATCGCTGAATCAAATGTGGAATGGCACAGCCCAAGGCTGTACTGTTGTCAACTGGTGACTTGACTCTGCATTGGCATTGGTCACTGCTCCGTTATTGTTGCAGAGCTTTGCCAACGCATTGGACCTAAGAAGGGCAAGTTGGGGGCAGTTCTGAAAATATGTCATTTTAAATTTTAGATTTTGAATCTTTGCTTACATGCATGTTTCACATGGTCACATTACAATCTTAGTTGTGACTTTTGGGCAGTCCAAGTTGGTTAATTCCAAGGTGTGCCATCATGGGTAGGCCCTGCTTCAGTCTGTACTGTAGCAGACTTTGCCGTGTTACTTCAAGATTTGGCAGTTCAGAGTTCAGTTGTCTGATCTAGATTCTAGATCTAGATATCTAGAATCTAGATTAAATCTATAGGCCTCCAATATTTAAAAGTCAGAGAGTCCTGAAGTTGGGAGGAATTCTCTGCCGAGGCTACCAAAATTCAGTTAAAATAGGATGCTGTTTTAGTTAAAATCTAGATTTAGATCTAAATCTAGAGTCTAGATCTATGAATGACGAGTGAATTTTTGTCATTGATATTATGTTGTGGGATAAAGTTCTGCGTTAAATCTTTAACTTAAGGCTACCCTCTCATTTGGTTGGTGGCAATAAGTTTTGTTTGTACTGAATTTTTCCCTTCTTTTCCTTACAGAAGTTCATCATGGCCGAAACTCAAGCTAAGGCAGCGACTGCCAAAAAGTCTGGCAGGTTTGTACACACTAGTCTTTTGTCTGTTCAGTATGAGTTTTGTATATTTGACAGTGGTACCGGACACCGTGGTATCCTTCCCGGAAGTGGCTATTCTCACCCGGGGTGAGAATAGAAATACGATCGACCTCTCACCCCGGGTGAGACTTGCCACCGTAGACTATTCTCACCTGGTGTGAAACAAGACCTGTTTTTCCTAATTTAGGAATACTTTCTATGAGATGTGGATTATCAAATGGATAATGGCAAAGAAAAGATTACGTTACAGCACAAAAGTAAGCTAATTTTATTGACTACAAAGATGCTATGGCTATTTCACTTTTCGAATCGAGCCGAACTACAGGGGTCGCTATTTTGTTTTGCCCGGAAGTTCTCGCAAGATCTATTCCTCCCCTCTTCTTTCTCTCTATCTCTTTCTGAATACTGTCTATTGGTGTGAACGATCAAATTGACCAAAACAAAGTTAAAAAATGATGTTAAAACACAAAAGTAAATTAATGTGGTCGTCTACAAAGATGCTACGGCTATTTAACTTTTCGAATTGAGCCGAACTATGCATGTCGCCATTTTGTTTTGCCCAGAAGTTCTCGCGCTACTCCTCCCTCTCTCTCTCTTTCTCTCTCTCCACTGCCCACAGACAAAATTGTACGCTTTTAGTTTTTAGTAGGCTAACAGTAGTAATGGAACGTTTGTTCACGGCACAGAATTCTACCATTTTTCTGTGATCACTGTGTAGAATTCTGTGGTTTAGGGTGAAAGCAAAATTGGTTGGCCTAGATCTGGGCTATAACAGTGAACGGACATCGGGTGAGAATAGCCAAAAGACTCGCCTGCACTATTTTCACCTGCGGTGAGAATAGAGGTGGCCATCCTTCCCAAATGTAAGGTACAAAATATTTGCATTTGTGACCTGAGAGTGAATGTTCTTTGATAAAAGCATTTGAAGGCTGAATTACAGTCTCAGTGGGTGGTTGGTGGGTGCTCTGTCTGGTGTGGTTTGCTTCTTCTTTCCTATCAAACATCTATCGTCTTTATCTCCCCTTCCTTGTAACACCTCTAATCTTCAGCTCTTATATGACCTTATTGTGTTGCTTGTGCCGTAAAACACTTACTAAAACAAAAAACACAGTGTCAATGGGAAAATGCTTTCATTTTTCAAAGGATTATGTCCTGTGCTTGTTGTGTTTCAGATTCAAGCAGCAGATACACTACAGACATAATAAATGTTAATCTTGACTTCAGGGGATTAATTTCCAATACTAATGTGGTTTAACTGGATACTTCATATATTATATATTAGCAATGCCAATCGCCCGCTGCGCCTTGTGCCGGAAATCTGCCTCCGCGCGAGGGGTATTTTTTGGGCCGCTCGGAATCAGAAGTGACTCTCTTCTAAGTTTAGTTACGGGAAAACTCCTGAACGGAAAATAAATGAAACTCAGCAACCAACCAGAGGAAAGGTTAAACTAACGACATGCCAGCGTACAATCCCGAACGATTACTAGAACCGGAGATATTGCCGTGTTTGTGAGAATTTCCTCTGCGGTTCGAAAACTAAGCGGAGCTGCGGGTTGATCGCCGACCACACAAGCGCCCCACATGTCTTCTTTATTGCTGTAAAATTTCAGATCTCTGCGTTTAGTAGATTTTCCGTACCAACTTAAAATTACCACCCACCCATTGATAAAACACTAGATCTAGAAACTTAATCGCGCATTCCAAACGCGAGGTGCCGGCATGCAAGAGGCGCGTGATCGCTAGGCGGCATGTGATTGGCTGCCTATAACCAAATGGGTCACCGATGACTACATCGCGGGTTTTCCCGATAGCGCTTTACTGAGTTTTAGAAGGGGTGATCGCGTCGCGGTAAAAACGATGTCACGCAATTCAACAAATTTCACGCAAATATCAGTCTTTAAGATCCAAAGTAATGAAGACAACGAAAAAGTGATAGCAGAACTAGATTTGGCACTAAAAATCACATGGAGATGCCAAGTTTCATTCATATGCTCCAATTCATTACTGACTTATGAACAGTTTTTCCTCAAAATACATCAAAACATGTCCCACATTTTGGCGATTTTTTCCTATATGAAGGTCCTCCAACATTTTGCAAACAAAAATCCCAATAACTTTTTTATTTATCAATGGATTTTTAAATTTTAAAAACCACAGTTCTTAGAATTTACTCTAGTTTCATTTAAGCCCATTTTTAAGCAATTCGGATGAAAATTTAATTTTTCATTGTCATTGCTATATATATATATGCATCAGATTTCTTCAGTTGTTTTGTTGTTTTATCTTTATCAGGATGTACAGCAAGGCTGTTTTTACTGGTTACAAGCGAGGCCATCGCAACCAGCACGAGACCACTGCCCTTTTGAGGATTGAGGGAGTCATCAACAAAGATGACACCGAGTTCTATCTGGGAAAAAGATGCGCATACGTGTACAAGGCCAAGAGGTAGGTTGCTCGCTGTGGCGCTTGGTTTAGTTTTAGTAAGTGTTTTACAGCACTTGCAACACAATAAGGTCATATAAGTTCCGAAGATTAGAGGGCTTGCAAGAGAGTAACAAACACAAAAAAGGAGGGGAGATAAAGACGATAGATGCTTGATAGGAAAGAAGAAGCTAACCACACCAGAGCACCCGCCACCTACCACTCTGTGGCGGTTGTGGAATGGTTGGGTTGCCTGGCATAGTCTAGATCACTTTATAACCTCTATAATGGGGATAAGCTCATAAAACTTTTTGTTTATTGCTTCCTCGGGTGTTAACTGCTAAGTCAAAACTTGCAGCTTGTGCATTTTTATGCAGCAACGTCTTGAAAGTGATTAATATTTGTCGTGTTGAGTGCATGTCACTGCCACACTGAAAACAGGGATCATTTCTGAGTTCTGGTTGTGACAGGAAACTGATTTTTAAAAAAAAACAGGTGCACATAATGAGCTGTGTGTATGTCTGTTGTAACAAAACGCTAAATTTAGAAGAAAATAGCATGGATTTTGGGGCAAACACCCATCTTACCATATGGCAGTGGGTGTGCGACATTGCACTGTCACCTTTTTCAATAAAACAAACAAAAACGAAGTTGAATTAACTGAGAAACATGTGTAACTCATTCGAGGCGCAGGGTTTGAACCAGCTTTGCCCCTAGAGACGCTCGATTTTGGGTAAACTTTGAAAGTCTGCCATTTTTTTTCCATTTTCGATATTTTTAGTCTGTTTTCACTATCAACACATTCAACATTTGAACTTTGCCTTAGATCTAACCCAGTTTGCCTGGATATGTTTTCCCTCTAAGTTGACAGTGAAGAAATACAGAAAATAACAAGATAAAGTTACAACACAACTATAACGCAGCTAAAATACGTCACAACACAGTTTATAGTTCAAATATTGCGAAGAAATAGTTCCAGTCACTGTGAATAGTCCTTCTCTGTATGGTAATCCTCAAGTGTCCATGTTTTTAGTTGCCTCAACTGTCTTCACAAATCGCCACAGAAACTTACAAAAACAGTACAATACGGTCAGGGAAAATAAATACTTGTACAAAGTAGAAATGACTTAGCAATGTCAAACAAAAGTTATTTCCCTGGAATACCTTCATTTGTGCTGCCACAACGGTCGAGAAATGCTGTCATACATCCCGAATTAGTTAAAAGATGCAGTGAATATCTGTTCTTGGGGGTGTTGATAGAGCACTTTCTGTGTTTTTCACATGTAAAACTGGAGGTGAATTTTGCTCAGATTGTACTTTATTGCTCCCGGGCTGTGCAGGGGGAAGTTGCTGTTCTTCATACAAAGCTCAGGGGGAGGGGGGGGCTTACTGGTTCTTTCCATTTGTTCTGGTACCATGACGCTTACAGACCAGATGTTATTGTCGGTGAAAATTCTAGTGTTGGCCGCACTTTTTATCTTGAAAACTTTAGGTTCAACTGAAGGCCCAATGATTTCTATGGGTGCACATTTTTCTATCATGGTACCAGTATTTGAGTGGGGGCCTCTTTCCTCACTCCAGATTGGGAATAAATCCCCAGTTTCAGTATATGGTTTAACTATTTCTGAAGACACCTGTGTATCACTATTCCCCATCTATTGGAGCATCATGCTTGTCAGTTTCATTATCTTTACTAGATCTACTACTGTTAAATCTTGACCCTTAATCTTCATCAGTTTCAACTCTTGTCTTTAGCCGGGTTATCTTCATTTAAATCTAAATTATAGTATTCTAGGTTGTGCATTACATAGAAGAGATAAAAAAGACCCCAAAAGACATGCCAAGGAAATCTGAGAAGTGTAGGTCAAACATGTTATTCCGACCCTACACTTGATATGTGGATTTCATTAACAGGAAATGTCAGTGCTACACAAAATGCGTTAAAATGAAAAATGCACAACTGTTTGTGGTGAAGTGAAAGAGACAACTATGCCTGTCTTTGTGAAGATTGTTTACAATGATCAGTACAGAAAGTGACATCACACAATATACCGAATGCTAACTGCATTTAAATCTTTTAAGACACCATTGATGTTGTAGGTCTTCTCAATCACTAGGATGGTTTCTATTTTTTAAAATAGGGTCTGATGCACCCTCTTCTGGTGCTGGACTGCTGTTGTGTTAACATTAAATAACTTCCTTTCCTTATCTTTGCGCACTATACTATGAAGAAACTTCGTTTATTGCCACTTTGATGGATTTTTTTGTCGCATTTTGACGCTGTTTAATTTTTTAGCTTGGTTTTACTATTCCCCGGGAGACTTCTTTTTGCAAATGGAGTTAACAAAATTATTTTTGTTTTGTTCACAGGCTCACCGCTTGCCCCGGCCATGACAAGCCAAGCCGCTTGAGGGTTATCTGGGGCAAGGTGACCCGCCCACACGGGAACAGTGGTGCTGTGCGAGCCAAGTTCAGGAAAAATCTGCCCAGCAAGGCTATTGGGAAACGAGTACGCGTGGTAAGTGCCTTCTTGCCGGCGCCACTGCCACACACACACACACCTAAGTTATTTTACAATGAGGTCTGATCTACTTCTTTGGTTAGTAGGGTGGACTTTCAAGATTTTGATGGGGAGCTTGAAGAAAATGGAGGGGTCAATGGAGTCTTCCAAGATTTTGTTGGGGTGCTTTTAAAAAAATTGCTAATTGGTCTTCTTTCCCTCTTTGTGTACCTAGATACTTCATACAAATTTAGGGTAATGTTTATTGCCAAGACCTGGTTGTTCCATTTCTGATACTGCGTTCAAATATGGGTCATCGGTTAGTCACGAATAAGATTAAATGAATTTAGGTGTATTGGGCTGTCCCCATGGTTTTATGCACCTCGCATAATTTAGCAAAATTGTGATCATTTTTTCCATAATTTCTGATTATTTTCTTTTATTATTCTTTGTTAAAATTAACAATCGCATAATTTCACATTTTTTTGGGCCCAGATTGCATAATTTCTGAATTTATCTTGCATAAAATGACGCGGACAGATTGAGTTAATCTGAATTTCAGTTTATTGAAGTGCGATTTTGGGGCGGGAGTTAAATTATATCCGAACTGACTGGCCAGTTTTGTTGCCCCACACTCTTACTCATTACTTGCATTTCCTTGGTCTGAATAAGTAGGCCTACATTGGCAAAGTGAGGGATTCTGGTGCATTATGATGTGCCCTGTTGGGCGGAAATGAAAAAATACCTTAGGATTGCATTTTCTTCCCCCCCCCATCTCTGTAGAAAATATGGGGGTACAGTAACCTTATTCCACCTTGTTTGCCATAATGCGTCATCCTGTCCCCGTCGTTTTATGCAAGAAAAATTCTGAAATTATGCAGTCCAAAAATGGGAAATTGTGCAAAAATTGATAAAATTTTGCTAAATTATGCGGGGTGCATAAGACCACGGGGACAGGTCATGGCCCATTAATTTCACGTCTATCAGTCTAGAGAATCTTCTTGTAGAAGAAATTTTGTTCATCTGAAATTATCCGTGACCTTTTCAAGTGCAATATTTTTGTATTATAAGGTACCGCACTAGTGGGCAGGTTAGGGTGGTTTGTATTTGATTTTGTTTTTCGTGGATTTCATTGTTTTGTTTTTTGTTGGAATTGAGATCTCCATCATGTTTGTTATTTCAAAGAAGGAGTGGGTGAAATGTGCTGGAAGTCGCTGTCTTGACTGGTCAGATCAAGGATATTGATGGGGATTTAAATCTAGATGTGGTTGATGATTTAAATGACAAGGACAAAGGAAAACCTGATCAGTGAACCATCAGAAAAGGGGGGGGGGGGCAGCTGTTGTTGTTGTTACCGATCCCGTAGCATCTGAGCGTGAACTCTTCTGCATGATCCCATTCTGTAATAGTGATGGCTGCATGTCTGTTCTAACTGTTGTCTTGAGGAGTAGAGGCAGTTAGATGTGTGGGGTAGCTTGGGAAGAAAACATCCTCTCAAAAAAAAAACCTCAGCTATGATTTGTAATTGAATGAAAACCTCGATGCTATTTGTATTTTAAAGCGTATTTGTTTTTTTTAATCATGCCAATTTGCTTTTGTGAAATTTTACAAAATTTCTTTTTGTTGGGGGGGGGGGGGTCTCATTGTGTTCAATGCCTACATAGTATACTAGACTGTTCACGGGAAACGGTCATGTTTGAAATTGTTAATGGATGCTTGTGTAATGTTTGTTAGGATCTAGAATTTTAATTCAATTTTTAGTTGCTTATCAAATTTTTCTATCATCCTCAGATGATGTACCCATCAAGAATTTAATTGGCTGAAGTAATAAAATCCTGAAAAAATATAGCTGTTGTTGTTTGCTTAATTTGAATGTTTCTCGGTTGCTGTCTTTCTTTCAATCTGTTGTTACATTCTTGCTTTGCTCTGTCGCTGGGTTTTTTTTTTGGTTTTTTTTTTTTGGGGGGGGGGGGGTTGTGTGTGTGTTTGTTTCTGTCCATTTCTGAGAAATAAGAATGTGGGTGGTTGACGGGTGCTTTGGTGTGGTTTGCTCCCTCTTTCCTTTCAAACATCTATCGTCCTTATCTCTCATCCTTCTTTTTTGTGTTTGTCACTCTCTTGTAATACCTCTAAATCTTCGGCACTTTTATGACCTTATCGTGTTGTAGAACTCTTACTACAACTAAACTATGTGCTTCTCTTAACCAAAACCAAGGAATGTAACAAGCTCAATGTGGGTGAGACAAGCACACAGCAAGTTCTCTAGCACTGACAGTCACTGACACTGTGGGTGGTTGGCGGGTGCTCTGGTGTGGTTTGCTCCTTCTTTCCTATCAATCATGTCATCTTTACTCCCCTCCTTCTTTTTTGTGTTTGTTACTCTCTTGTAACACCTCTAATCTTCGGCACACTTTTATGACCTTATTGTGTTGCAAGTGCCGTAAAACTCTTACTAAAATATAAAAGAAATAGCACTGACAGAGAGACTGCTGTCTTGGCTACGAGCCTGGCTGGAAATATGTGCTAACAGAGGGAACACATACTTAATCATATTAATGGCTACAAACAAGGGTGAAGGCTGACTTGTTTGACAGGGTAATCAAAGTCAAACGGGACCAGATATGGCCTGGAGATATCACACAAGAATCTTACTCGAAGCGGCGACTCTAAGTTGTGAATGAAAACAAATCCGGAATTCACATTGTATGTTCAACTGCCAAAATAATCGGGAAAGTAGGCCTATCTTATTAAATATTAATTCCAACTACAATTAAATTTAACTTTAGATGTGAATACACAAACACAAAGCAAAGAAGCAGAGATGTCAGTACTAGATCTGTATGTTTTAGATCTACCAGGGAGTCTTTGGCAGAACATGACAATTATCCTATTTTTAAATTTCACATTTGGCTGTTTTTGCTTAGCCTTTCGCGTCATAATCGATATCACGATCTGATTATAGGACGGTAAAAAGTCGAGGAAAAAAAGCAAGCACTTGCAACTGTCAAGAGATTGTTAGGAGTTAGTTCCCCTCACATTTGTGAGGTAGACTCGACCAGTGTAATAGTTAGCTTACATAATCAGAGTTTGTGATTGCTTATAACTGTGGCCCCAAAGGGGTGAATAGGGTATTTGTGGCAATGAAACAGTTTTGGCTGCTATGCTCATGTTCCCTTCAACTCTATTGGTCGGTAGACTCTTCCAGCCTCACTTTATTAAGCTTACTTAATCAAAGCTTGTGACTGCTTATGGAGTGGCCCGAGAGGAGTGAGCAGGCTATTTCTGTGGCAGTGGCAGTGAAATCTTTTTGAATGTTAGGCATACTGTTCATTGTTGATTATGAACGTCTTTTTACATTTAATTTATGAGGTTTACGTTTATAGGTGAAATTGACAGCGACAATGTTTCAAAATTAGAAAGGGAAGCAGTGATTATTTGATTATATATATATATAGACGCTTCGCCCCTGACTACAAAGTGGTCTTTTTACTACCACAAGGTCCTGTTGGTGTTAACTCAAGTGACATCATGCTGAAATGAAGCAGAATATCCTGGTTCGAATCCCTTGTAGGCATCCAAGAGCTCTGTTCATTTTGTGTTTTCGAGGCAGGCTCTCTCTCAACTCATTAGGTCTATCTCATAGTTGGATATGGGCATCGAATTCTGAGATCCTCTCTCTTATATAGTAGCTATAATGTTCGGCTGTATTGAAAAGGTACCTTGTTCTACTGTAGCTTTATTAATCCACATATATATATATATATATATTGGGCACACTTCGTCTGCAGACCACCTCTTACTCTTAGTTAATACATGTATTTTATAATCTAATAATAGTGTTGATTGGGGCGTTAAACTGTCCCCGTGGTTTTATGTACCCCACATAATTTAGCAAAATTTGATAATTTTTTGGCATAATTTCTGATTATGTTCCTTTATCATTCTTTGTTAAAATTAATAGACTTGCATAATTTCACAATATTGGGCTCAGTTTGCGTAATTTCAGAATTTTTCTCGCATAAAACGACAGGGACAGGTTGAACCCATACCATTTCACCAAATTTTTTTTTTTTCGACAAAACACTAAACATTTCTAAAAATGTATCAACTGTACAAGAGGTAAGCTATTGTGCAGATCAAATGCCAGTCGTTGAACCTGTTAGTGTTACCGAGACGGTTTACAGAACTGTGTTTTGGGAAGAATTCAACTTATCATTTTTTGTGCCCCAAAAAGACTAGTGTGTAGTTAACATATGTAGGCCTACTACTACTACAATACCGCAATCGTCACAGTCTACGCTTGCATTACAACAAGCTATCGATGGTTATTCGGATGGCTGGTATATAGTAGATTTCTACTTCTCTACAGGCGGCTCGGCATTCAAAGTCAAAGGTATAACCAAAGCCGAAAAATATACATGTATTATATATATATATATCTGTCCCCGTGGTTTTATGCACCCCACATAGATCTAATTAGCGAAATTTAGCCCAAAAATGTGAAATTATGCGATTCTGTTAATTTTTAACAAAGAATGACAAATGAGAATAAGAAATTATGAAAAAAATGATCAAATTTTGCTAAATTATGCGGGGTGCATAAGTGACATTATCCAGGAAAGTCGGGGACCCCTCTGTGACGGACCAGGGGTGTACCCTGAAGAGTCACGGAGTGGAGCCCCACCAAATCCTTCCTAGCGGTCGAAATCAGTCATCATATCCGGAACTGATGAACCCAACACCTCTGGTCCTCTCTACAGCAGCTGTTCTAGGAACATTTTTTAAAGGAGAGATACCATAAGATAAGATCTCTCTCTCTCTCTCTCTCTTTCTCTCTCTCTCTCTCTCTCTCTCTCTCTCTCTCTCTCTCTCTCTCTCTCTCTCTCTCTCTCTCTCTCCCTCCCTCCCTCTCTCTCTCTCTGTCTCTAGTCTCTTTCTCTGGTGGTGAATTGAAAACTTCTGATCTTTGAATCTATGATGAAAAGACAGTTCTTCTTCTTCTTCTTCTTCTTCTTCTTCTTCTTCTTCTTCTTCTTCTTCTTCTTCTTCTTCTTCTTCTTCTTCTTCTTCTTCTTCCCTCACCCTCACCACACACGTTATTATAGGAAGATTAAGGGACGCTACTGGATCGTGGCAAGCAGCTTTAGTTTTTTGTGGAGTTCCCTCCCTTTCCAGAGCTTTACTTGCTCTTTGTTTCCGTGGGCGAGAGGCTCAAGGTAGTCAAAGACATGAGACAGAGAAGGGAGCGGAGGACAAGTCTCAAGAGACCCATGCACTGGCTGAAGCCAATATTTGCAGCTCTCTTGCAAAGATGAAACGAAGCATAATAATAATAATATAAATTCGGATGTCTAAGTAATGATGATGTGATGCAATCATCATCATTAGTAGTAGTATCATCATCATCATCATTATTGTAACACGTATTAATATTATATTATTATTTAATTTATTATTATTATATTGTTATCATTATCAATATGTTCCATTCAGTAATTTAACAATGCCTACTAGAAAGTTGATAGTAGGGGTTGGGCCTTTTTTCAACTACCTTTACTGACTGCCAAGCAAGAGTGTGATACGTTACGTTTGCTGGATACATGTATTATAAGTCTATAGTATGACAGAAGACAATTGGTCGCTTTTAAGCACAAGGGGGCTACCCGAAAAATGCTGTTTTGAGAAAATCGAAGGTAAAGTTTTTGCCCCTTGTTCAGTTCCTTTAAAAAACAAGGAGAGTTTTCTCTATAACCAAACAAATATACACACCAATGAAACCAAACTTCTCCTTTAGGCAGGGCAATGTTCACTTTTAGTGTAGGTCAATATTTCTGGAAACTCCCGATATCTGGGTTATCCAGCTTGTCCTTGAAAGCGACCGATTATGAAATTGTGCCACAATTGACTAGATTCTATAATATGTTGTTAAATAATAAATGATTGCGATGTACAAAGGATATGCTTTAAATCATGTGTTACAGATCAATCATATCATTATGCATAGCTTTTATGACTGACTGAAGAGAATATCTTAGCAGCTAGATGGCATTTTGTGGGTGGTTGGCGGGTGCTCTGGTGTGGTTTGCTTCTTCTTTCCTATCAAACATGTATCGTCCTTATCTCCCCTTCTTCTTTTTTATGTTTGTTACTCTCTTGTAACACCTCTAATCTTCTGGCGCTCATATGACCTTAAGCAGTTGCGAGCGCCGTAAATTGTAAAACCTCTACTAAATCAAGATGGCATTTTTCATGATATATCATAATTCAACCCAGCCTTACACACGTAACAATATAGCGCTCCAGCTTGGTGCGGTGATACAACGTCATAAGTTCTGAGTGGGTGGTTGGCGGGTGCTCAGGTGGGGTTTGCTCCTTCTTTCTTATCAAACATCTATCGTCCTTATCCCCCCTCCTTCTTTTTCATGTTTTTGTTACTCTCTTGTAACACCTCTTATCTTCGGTACTTATATGACCTTATTGTGTTGAAAGTGCCGTAAAACACTTTTTAAAAAAAAAAGTTCTGAGCGCTGTACAAA